GAGTAAACCAAGGCTCGGCCACGCGACTTCCTCTGCTGGAGAGTATTTTGGTTGTAAGTTAAAGGGTCCATCCCAGATCAGCCTGAGTGCAAACAGGCAGTCTCAGGACATGGAGTTGGGAAGAGCAGCTGAGACGAGCTTCAGGCATGGCTGGTCCAGGCGCTCGGCCCGGGCTGTGTCTACCTGTCTGCTCTGTGGCCCTCCGGGACTGGCCTCACTGCCCTCAACTGCGTGGCCTTACCACGCAGACAGACCACAGATAGCTGCAGGCTCCCATCAAGCCCCTGTGGACCCTGGGGGGACACGGAGAGCCCCACTCCCAGCACACTGACTCTCGGGGAGGAGCTCCGGCCCCGCCTCAGCCAAGTGCTCCCCCTGGGCCCATCCTTGCCGTGGGGCAGGGTTCGGGGACTATCAGTCAGATGAGGAGCAGCCCGGCCACCAAGAAAAGCTGGCGAGTGCTGGGCACCAGGGAGCTGGGCAGGCCACACCACCAGCCACGGGACGCTTAGTTCGTTCCCACACCGCTCTGCTCCAAGTAACCAGTGCTAGGTGCGACTGAAAACGGGCACTAAGCCCCAGCCTGCCCCTTCACGAACCGTGGTTTCCAGGGGAGCCAGTTTCTATCTCTGCGGAAGTCCTAGGCCCGCACTGTTTTTCACACCTCTGGGCCTCCACGGCCACCCTCTGCCCTGGCCAGACGCGCCCCGACGGCCCTGCCGCAGCCCAGTGCTAGTGCCCGAGGCCGTCCGGCAGCCAGCCCATCCTGCGCCCACCCTCCAGCCAGCCCGCCGGCGAATTCCCTTTCTGTCAAGCTAGCCAGGTCACTTTCTGTTGCTTATAGCCAAGAAAATACAACTATGAAAAAGAAAAGGAATCGGAAAGGTGCAGAGGAGAGGGGGTGCAGTCCTTGCCCGGCAAATTAAACATCGCCCTGTTCTTCCATCAGCCGCTCTCTGTGTGGCCTCAGGCCAGGCATTAGCGCCTCTGGGCCTCAGTGCCACAGCGCAGATACAGGTGATCTCACCTGCCCGGCCACCTGGCAGGTGAGATGATCTCTGTGAAGGCGCCAAGGCCAGCAGCAGAGCCACGAGCAGGGCGGCACTGAGCCCCCACGGGTCCCCACAGACAGAGCTACCGCGGAAGGTGGAGGAGGACGAGCGCCTGAGGCTGGAGCTGCAGGTGGTGGAGGCGGAGAGGGTGCGGCTGTCCCTGCTGGAGGAGAAGCTGGTGGATGTGCTGCAGCTCCTGCAGAGGCTGCGGGACCTGGTAGGCGGGGAGCCAGCCCCGGGGGGGGGGGTCTTGGTAGGTGGGGAGCTGGTCCCGCGTGGGGGAGCCCTTGGGTGGGGGCCTGGTAGGCTGGGGAGCTGGTCCCGCGTGGGGGAGCCCTTGGGTGGGGGCCTGGTAGGCTGGGGAGCCAGTCCCAGGGTGGGGAGACTTTGGGGGGAATGGTAGGTGGGGAATGGGCCCCAGGGTGGGGGGAGCCAGCCCCTAGGGTTGGGGGGAGTTTTGGGGGGCTGGTAGGCTGGGGAGCCGGCCCCAGGGTGGGGGAGGGGCCCTTGGGGGGAGCCCCCTCAGGCAGGCGCTACTCCGGGCTCCTCCTCACAGTAGGTGTGTGTCCACATCCAGACCAGAGAAGCCAATCTAAAGAGGAGGGCTCTGGTGCGGCTTCCCAAGTGCAGTGTCGAGCGACACCTGGCCGTGTGAGAGGGGCGGTTGCAGGCTAATGACGCACTTAAGTAAGGACGGAAAACTTTTAAATAAGGTATTAGCAGCCCCAACCCAGCAGTGTATTGAAGTGCCACATGATCAAACTGGGTTAACCCCAAGAAAGCAAATGTTCCCCCATCAAAACAAGAAAGCCACAACAAGCCGGCCCCCCGCAGACGAAGGTGAGGCGCCAGGCCCAGCGTGGGCTCATGCTAGAGCCCCTCAAAGGCTGGACGACAGCCACCCCGACCCCCCGGGCCCACTGAGCCCCGCACACCTCCGTGTGCCGAGGAAGAGTTGGGCTGCGCCTTCTCACGGAGAATGGAGATAGCACCCGGGTCCCTGCCGCACCCAGACCCCGGGGGCAGCCAGCAGAGCGAGGGCCAAGAACTGGGAGGGAAGAGCCAGCGGGTGGGCAGCACGGGCGGCCGGCAGCACCCCGCGAAGGAGAGGCCACCCCTGGCCGAGGGCTGGAGAACTCAGAGCACAGGAGCCGATCATGTTGCTAAGTGGCATCGGCAGAAACAGTAACCTTAAGAGACGGTTAGCTCAGGCGGGACGGTTTGGCCCTGAGCTGAACAGACCTGCTGCGGCCTGGGGCACTGCCCAGCCAGAGCTGGCCCTGCGACCTCTCACCCGCTGCCTTTCTCGGCGGTGAGACGGGCACTTAAGCAAGTGGCCGCAGGGACCACAGGGGCCGAGGCTTCGCGCGCTCCCGCTCAGGC